GGGGATCACACACCTGAGACTCACCTGAGCGCGCGCGCGGGGGGGGGGGGGGGAGGGAGAGACGAGTTAGACTGCCCATCGAACCCCGCCAGTCCTGAGCGTCTCGGTAACCTTTCTGTGCTCGGCCCCTGGGTAGAGGGCCGTCGCAATCGTGGAGTAGAGCTTGTACGGCGAAAGCTGCAGTTCCTTCGGCGTCTGGCCGAAATACTGTGAGAACGCGCACGCGCCCTTGGCGGGGTCCTGCTCGTGCACCAGCGCAATCGGAATCTGGAGGTCAATTGCACGCTTGACCATCTCTGCAACGATGCCTGCCGGGTCGAGAAAGGCGTCGTGGTTGAGGTAAAGGAGGAGCGCCGACTTGCCGGGTGGGGCGGACATGCCAGCTGCAAGCGCAGTCTCCGCCTCGGCGATGCTGATGGCGCCACAGCTCGATGCACCGCTGCTCGCGTGAGAGCCTTCCTGGGCCGCTCCCTGCACCTCCTCGGCCACCTCCATCACGCCCACATTCGCGGTGCAGACAAGAAGCACCACAGGTGTGGCGAAGCGGTAGGGTGGCAACTCGCCCGGTAGGCTGAGGCCGGACCGGAGCGGACTCTGGTTGTTGACGTAGAAGGGGAGATGCCGTAGCGCACGCAATGCTAGGAGCTTCAGCGTCTCGACCTGGAGCGGAAGTGTGCGGAGACTGAGATGCCACGATGAAGTGGCGCGGTCCAGGGTTTCTGGCACCTGGAAGTCGTGCGAGCGCACATACGGGACTGGGTCCAAGGCAAAAACCTTGTTCAAGATGTCGTTGGTCCACGCCTGCCCCTTGTCCGTACACCATCTGCGGCACTCGGCCTTCATCTCCTCATTGCTCGCGCCTGGTCGCCACGCCCAGAACGACTCAGATGGAGGACGACGGCGAGCCACGTGCACCCAACACATCGCGCTCGCCTCCCTTTGCAGCGTCCACCTCAATCACCGAGACGACGGGCCTGTCCAGCTCCACCGCCCTGTAGACCTCACGCCTTTAGGCACGTGTGCACGCCGCTGCTTATCCCACCCCGGCCAGTGTTGGGATGCGAGGGTGGGCTCAGGACCTGCAGTTTGCGCTCGCAAAGTAGTTCTTCGAGAGGAAGACGACGAGGCGCGGCCGAGTCGCATGGGACGCCGCCGTTGCCGCTGGAGCTTGTCGGTGCCGCGCACATCCATTCTTTCACCAAGGAGCTGTCTTCGCAGGACACCCCCGCCGCTGACGAGCAGTGCTCAAGGCGCATCGCCCCCGGCCACCGTGAGTCCCACCAGCCGTACGTCTTGACCTGTACAATTTCGGTACCATGCGGCACGGCAATCGTCCATGACGAGCCCGCCGGGCCATTGAGCATTGCTGCCCCTTGAAATCCGCTGGTGTACGGGTCGTCGCCGGAAGCGCCGCAGCTGGTGCCGCGATCCACTAGGTTTGTGCAGATCCGAGTCCGGCAGTCATCCTCGGCCGTCCATGTGTTAAAGATCCCTGTCTGGGTGTTCGCCTTGGCCCGAAGCGTTGATTCCTCGGAGCATGCAACCACTGCAACGTCGGTGACCCGCTCCCCAAGAGCATCGAAGAACTCCATCTCGGTGATATCGAGCCAGCAGGTCGAACTTGAGTCAAAGCATGAATCGATGACCACCTTGTAGTATGATGCGTCAGGTGTGGAGTCGGTCGGCGCTGCTGAAGGAGCAACCGTTGGGTTTGTAGTTGTTGGGTTGGGGCCGGCACACTGTGTACAACCCTCGCAGGCGCTGCGCTGGCATAGCTTCGAGAATCCCAGCGTGTGGGTGGCACAGTAGCTCTTACACTCGCCGTTGGCCAGCGACGGCGACGCGGGTGCTTCGAGCAGGTACAGATCAAAAGGAACATTGGGTCCTGAACGGCATTTGTCAAGTTCGATCCCGCCCTTGCGGAAGCACCGAAATGCGTTGGCGTTGCGAACCGTGTCCGTGAGGACGGCCTCGCAGCCCTCCGTGGAAAGGCATGCTGCTTGACACGCCTCAAGGGAGTCCGCACCTGCGAAAGGCTGCCAGTCTTCGCCGTCGAAGTCGAATTCTATGCGCGCCCCGTTGCCATTTCTTCCGCAGCCAGTCTGTGGGTGCCGCGTCCAGAGGCCCGGGAGCAAGGCTGGCAGCAGGGCGAGCATCACCCTGGCCAACGTTCTCTCGAGAGAAAAGGGAAACTCGGCAGAGACGCGGGTGCAGCCAGCAAACTGATGCTGAGCAAAGCTGCCACTGCCCGTCACGAGACCCGTCACCACAACGATGCTTTTGCTCTGCCCTGTGGCCTGGGAACGTTACTCGCGTATCTGGAGCGGGCGACGCTGGAGGCGACGGCCGACGCTGGAGCGGCGGCGTTGCAAAACTACAAGGCCGTAGCTCCTGGTAAATTGTGCAATAGAGAGAGTATTGCAAGTGCAATACGTGCAATAGATGGCAATACAAGGTGTAGAATGCGTAAAAGTCTCTCTCTTTTCCAGACTTGTGCGCGTCTCTCTCTTTATTCCAGACTTTTACGCCTACAACAAGCATTTTTACGCTTTTTTGAGCCATTTACCCTCAGCTGGTTCCCGGCGGGAAATTCAACCTCAACTTTATGGCCCCTCTACCAGTCATACACGCCGTGCTTGGCCATTAGCGCCGCCGTGGCCGCGCTCCCGCCCGCGCGCCTCTGGCGGCTGGCGGCGGCCCTCCGCCTCCCGGCGCCGCCGCCCTCGCCGCCCAAGCGAGCGGACCCGCCGCGCGGCTCCCGCAAGTGAGGCGCGTGCGCCGCGAGCGCCTTCCGCGCCGCGTCGCACGCACCCTCGATGGCCGGCGCGTCGGACTCGTCTCGTACACGCTCCGCCAGCGCGGCGGCGAGGCGGCCAAAGCCGTGCCCCCCTCCCTCGCGCGGGCGCAAGACGAGCTCGACCGCGCCGGCGCAGCACGGGCTCTCGAGCGCTCCTACTCCCTCACGCTCGAGCTGTGAAGCGTCGCCGCGCACTCTCACAGCGGGGGCAGGCACCCGGGGGGGGGGGGGGGGAACGTGCTTCCCCACCTTAACTGGAAAAGGGGGTGGTGGGGGTGGTGATGATGGTGGTGGGGGGGGGGGGGGG